AAATGGCCAAATTGGCCAAAGAGCTCTTTTAAGTTCCTTCTTCTATCCATGAAACTTTCAGAATTGCAAGGCTGCACCTGAACAGCTGTGATTAAGTTCTGATAAGTAAAATTAAGATTTTGGTGTGTTTTCTTAATTGGAGACTAGTTGAGTTAAAGCAGTTTAACTCACATGGGTAAGAATCCTTCACGATTTGTATTCTTTGCATGGTGGCTTATTTGAAAGCGCTATGTTCCGCATTCAAGGAGATTGGTAAACTGCCATGGTGTCAGTTGCCACAGCATAGGAGCAAAGAGGAAGCAGATTCTGAGTACACAAATGTTGCCACTGAGGTTCAGGGGCTTTAAGCCTTGCAGAAAATAGACCTCCTTACATTTAACTGTAACGAAAAATTAAAAAGAATCTGGTTAAATAATATAATCACAGTGAATTAATGTTGTTAAAAATGAACAAATTACACAGGTGTAACTGGACAGTCATGTTAGCAATAGAGCCCACTTTATCGGGTTAGTTTTTATTGTTGCAAAGCCATTATTGACAAGCCAGTTTATAATGTTATGGGAGTTACATAAAGTGATTGTTGGTTATATGCATGAAGAAACTAAAAAAATAACATGAAGTGAATAGAAATAGGTTTCCCTTCCATTCTTGAAAAAAAAAGATTGACCAGGCAATCAACTGATTTCTTGTATCTTTAAAGGTATTTTGTTATGGCCTGAAAAACAATCCTGTTTTTTCATGAATCAAAGTGCCAGAGGGGCTATGCAGCCTAATATTCTCCAGATGTTTTAGATTATAAAAATTATAATTATAATTCTGATAATTCCATGCTGGCAAGAACAATGGAACTAAAATATCAAGTATCAGGAGGGAGACAGATTACTTCAAAGTAAATATTACTTGAGTGGATTGGTGCTGATGCTTAAATAAAGATTGCCATTGGTTTTCATTAGGATTTGTTTGTAGCTCTGATCATCTGGATTTGTTTGCAGTTCTGATTTTCTGCAAACTCAAGGCAGTGGCCAGGATCTGTGCAAATGAAAGTCTGTCTCTTTTGGTGTTGATTCCACTCAAATGCCCATAGTGCCATCACATAAACCTATTTTGTTGGGAATCATTTTAGGATTGCATTTTCAAACATGACAGAGAGACAGATAATAAAAATAAGAACAATGAAAACAATGATGGGAAAATAGAATCAGACAAATTCTTCTGCATTTAAAGCAAAAGGGAGACATTTTAATAATGGAAAATTGTCAATGCATGGGTAGATTTTGACTTATGACTACAATTGGAACTGGAGCTTCCATCACGAAGTGGTGCAGTCATTAAATGAGTCACAGCTGATTTTACATCCTTTTTTTGTCACAATCACTGTGAATCTGGCTTTTCCTAGTGACTTCGTTGGAAGCTCCCTGGGAAAGTCACAAATGGTGATCACATGACCCAAGACACTGCTGAAATCTTTATAAATATATACCAGTTGCCAAGCATCTAAATTTCGATCATGTGGTCGCAGGGATGTTTTAGGTTTTAAGTACGAAGACCGAATGTAAGTTACTTTTTTCAGCATCATTGTAACTCCATTTCATTAAATAAATAATCATAAGTCCTACCTGTATAAAACTTAACTTTAAAACAAATGCTCTGAATTTTAGAATCAAAATTCTTAGAATTATTGGTATGCAAAGAAAAGTTTTTTTAAAAAAAAATCTTCAACAATTGCTTGGTTTTAATGGCACATATAAAGTAGAAGAAGTTAAAACTGAACAGGAGAAAATATTTATGGAGAATCTGGAAATGGGGGAGTTTTATATAACTCAGTAGGCTGATGAAATCAGGTTAAAATAAGATTAATTTCTTTTTGATATTTATGATGTATTAATAATTTTGAGCAGTGCTTTAATATCTTAATGTGTTCTAGAATTAGTCATCGGTACTTTTAGGATATAAAAGTATTAAGCACAATTTTTTGAAATAAGTAAAATATTTTCATATATTGTGATAAGCCACGGTGTAGCTTACTTAGTTTTAGTTTAGTAAATGTGCATATTTGGGGTATTTTGCACAAATCTAAACAGTGATGACTTAGTCAAGGTTTAGCTTAGTGCATTGTTTTTCAACATTGGCAACTTTAAACCTTCTGCTGGCTGGAAATTTCAAGAGTGGAAGTCCACACATTTTAAAACTTGGCAAGGCTGAAAAACAACAGCACAGTGAAATAATTGAATCCAGATTATATGCATATTACCTGTCAGAATATTAGTGGTATAGTGCTGTGGTACTATATTACCATACAAGTTATCTCTTTCATTATAGATGCTAAAATTCTGGACAAGCATGCTTTGTATGAAATATCTACGTACTCCTAAAACTTTCATATCTGCAAACATTAAGAGGGTGAACTATTGTATCATAGGGCAAATTTTTGAACATTACTTCAAATGGGCTAACTTATAGAATGCATCCAAAATGTGGGATCCATCAATCCTATGGAACTGAAATTTGGCAAACTTAATAGAACATTTTATGACACAAAAATGATCATAAACATTTTATGACATACAAAATGTCATAAAACCTATCCTGTGGTCAACTGATGTTTGATTGTGGTATATAGTTCAACATGGGCTACTTTCAGGGTGGATACTTCTCTGATTATCATCCAGAAATTTTTAAGAGCTTTTCCCCAGTATTTTAGAAACTCTGCCATTGTTGACAGCTTTGAAGAATCAGGTCAAGAAATATCTCTGCAACAATGAGCCAACAAGGCACAGCTTATCTAGCAAATTATATTTGGGCCATGTTTTGAAATATAACTAGGAGGACTGTATTGAAAGAACTGCTAATTCAGCTTGGATTAAATATGGGCAAAATCTCAGATTTTGGCAAGAAAGTGTAGTAGCTCAAAAACAACACCATATCGTGCAGCTTCCTCAGAAGTTGTTCAGCACTTAATTCCATTTTATACAAAACCTGATTTGAAAAACATTGAAGCCTGAAAACATAGCACTAATAGATTTCTAAAAAAAAATTGATGTAGCTGTTGGTTTTAAAATAAATTATATGATTTTAAGGTTTATTTAAAATGCAATGTATCACGAGGTTGTTTCTGTGTAGATTTTCCTTAAAGTTAAGATCTTTTCTTTGTTAGTTCATTGACTATTCAAAATTGAATAATGTGTAAATAATATGCAGCATTTATAAACCGTAGGTTTGAACAAATTGGGTGTATTGGTCAAGATAACTGGTTAGAGACCATGGGTTCTAATCCTGCCTTAGACTTGAAGCTATCATCTGGATGTCTTTACACCAGTTCCTTTCTCTCAGCCATTGGGAAGAAATAGACAAGGACAAACTACTTTTAAAAAATTCTGCCAAGGGAACTGTAGGGGTTCTTAATTACCAAGAATCAAACTGCTGTGATACCCAACTTTAGAAGCCCTTTATTGTTAGAGGTACTTAGAATATGGCAGTGATTTGGCAGGGAGAAATATAAGGAAACAGTGGATACCATAAATAAGGGTAAATATAAGGCAACGTATCTTTGTTACATGAAGAATGAAAAAAAATAATGAGAGGATATAAATACCTAGAAAGCATCTAATGTAGAGCACCAGGTGAATCTAAAATCAGGGATTATTTTTAATGATGTATCAATCACCCTGGGAGCATCAGTCTGAAAAAAAAACAGATTAAGTATTAAAAACTAAAATAATGTCTATGAACCTATTAGTTTAGATGGTTAAAAACTGATACATGTATATGCTTTAAGTAAGGACATGTTGAAGGATCAGTTATTATTCCTAAACAGTGAAAATGAGAAAGGAAGCTAAAATGATTAAAGCGGCAGTTCTTCTCTTATCTGCAGGAACCACATCAGTAATGGGTTGCAAAAATCCAGACCTCAAAGTCATAAAGAAAAATCAAATTCTTTGCTGCCAACCCCAAGGGCATCTGGATTGTTGCAACACAGATAGGATAGCTTTAAAGGTGAAGATAATGGGTAAGGCTGCATACATACTGTCCTGGTTTGTAAGCTGGGCTGTTGACATTGGTTTTCAAGCGTTATGCAGATGCATCCATTGAGGTTTATCACTAAACCTGGGAGCTCAGGCACTTACAAAGCAACAGGTGCTACCGAAATCATGTCATAGGACCCACATATCCTCTGCTATACTGTTCCAGCAACTGACCAATCTGTTTGCACATCCTGGCCTGCAAGAAATAATGGAATTATCCTAGTAAATTTAAGGCCCTTTCCATCGTGACCCTTCCCATAGACAGTTTTGCAACGTGCAGACTCTTCCCTCCAGGCAGGTGAATGGGCACCTTGACAATACCATCGTCAGCTGATAGGGAGGGGAAGAGGGAGAAGAAAAGTGGCCTCTACTCCCATCCCCGCAAAGGTGAGTTTTTTAGGGGGAACCTCCCGCCTGCTCTGAAAGCAGTGGTAAAGCGAAGGCAAAACGGAGCTTTTAAGTGGCTGGCATCAGGTAGCGTCCCCTCCTCTCCTTTGAAGCGCTAGGTGGTAGCTGCCCTTCCCCACCCACCCCTCGAAGGTGCAAATCAAGCGGGGCCCGGTTGGAATGTTCCACTCAGGAGGGAGAAGAAGGGGAGGAGGAGAGGGGGGTGTCTCGAGGTGGAATTTCAAAAGCGCCAACGTTCACTCGGGATCCGTTAAGTTCCAACCACCAATCCTTTGAAGGCGCCTCCGATGCTGCGGGAGGCGGAGGAGACTGAGCCAGCCTGGGAAGGCCGGGGGATGGAGCGGGGAGGCGGGGAAGGCCGCCTGGCTCCCTCCTCCGTGATGCCTGGGCTCCTCCCCTCGCCCATTCCCCTTCCTGGAGCGCCAGTCCACCGAGCCCTCTCCTCCTCGCCTCAACCCGCCTCGCGTGGGCGCCTGCCGGGAATGCCACGGCAGGTCGGGTGAGTTCCGCGCCTGGATGCCGCTGATCCCGCCGTCTCTCTCTTGTGTCTCCCTCCCCGCCCTCCTGCAGGCAGGGCAGCCTCAGTCCCCGGCCGCTTCCGAAGGGATGCTGGAGAAACTGGAGCTCGAGGATGAAGGTAAGGCGCGGGCGCCGCTGGGCGAGCCCCGTGGGAATGGGGCCGTGTTGGTGGTGGTGGGGAGGCGGGTCACCAGGTAATCCAGACGCACGAGCGGGAGGAAGGGTGCTGAGGGGCGGCGGAGGTTGCTAACAGGTGGGCGGCCCAGTACGGTCGGTGGTTATTGTGATCTTTAATAATTAATGTCCCGTTTGGACAGGAGGGGAGATCCAGAGGTAAGACTGCGTAGCCCTCCCCCCCCACCCCCCATTACATCTTGTGCATCAGGTGTCATTTTGTTGGTGGGGGAATCTGCTGAAACCGTCCTCACCCACCCACCCAGGGCCTGAAGCTGGACGATTTTGAGGGTCTGTCACAGAGCAGGTGGTCGAGATGGTGGAGGAGTATGTCTGTGTACAGCACCATCCATCGGTTTTCCTGGTGTGAGCACACTTGTGAGTTTTGATTTTAAGGCTCAAGGGACCAGATGTTGGGTTGGAATTTGAATTGCTCTGGAGAGAAGAGATCAATAAATGTGTTGAATTGCCTCTCCTTGCTAATAGGTAAGGTGGTTGTTAGGTGGAGGTAGAGATATATCTGCATGTATACTGTATAAAAGGGACAATGAAAAAAATATAATTATGACCACAAGGGTGCATCTTGTAGTTCTATTGCACTTACAATCTAATACAGGTAGCACTCAATTAGCAACCACCATAGGGACCAGAATTTCAGTTGCTGTGCAAGGCAGTTGTGAGTCACACCCAATTTTAAGATTTATTCTTTCTGGCCACAATTGTTAAATGAATCACACAATCTTTACACAAATCAAGCCACTTTCATTGACTTAGCTGCTCAAAAGCCAGCTGGGAAGATCACAAATTGCATAACTCTGGGATGCCACAACTGCCTTAAATATATGCATTTGCTAAGTATCCAGATTTTGCTCATATTACCATGGGAATGCTGCAATGGTCATAAATGCCAAGATCAGTCATAAATCATTTTTTTCAATGTCTATAACTATAAAGGATTGCTAAATGAATGGCTATAAATCAAGGACTATCTGTATTGCAAACTGTAAGCATATAAACCTACCAGCTGCTAAGTTTTTATCTGCAGTAATTTCTGTAAGTAGGTGTAAGTTGTTCAAATCTTAGAATGGGAACAATAAGAAATTATTTTCATACTTTTAATTTTTTTAAAAAACACAGATTTTGTTAGGTCTCATCTGATTTATTTACTGCTGAGGTTTTTTTAAAGTATTCTGTGTTTTATCTTGCTAGTCACTGACTATAATTAAATACTGTAGTTGAATGGTACTCTTGGTTAAAAACTCTTAACTTCTCTGTGGCATTAATTTAACTTGCTAAAAGCCTTTTAATTCCATAACCAATTTGTCTTTGAGGGAGATATGGTGTTCCATTTAGTGTGCAATTGTGTGAATTGTCTGTAGTAATGTGAAAAATAGAATTGAAATTGAAGAAAGGTAGAATAATTGTTTACTGTAATGAAAAAAAGACAGTTAAGCCTGGGTGCAAGATTGCTACCTCTCACTCTTTAGTTGTTCCCCAAATCCCATGAAACAGACCTACTTCCATAGAATAGGTGTGTTTTGTGCATTGGATCTATTGAAATCCTCTAAAAGTGTTTTCTCTCCATAAATCCTCATAGTGAATAGGCCTTTTTTTTTTCTTGAATGTACTTTAAACCAGTGTCCTTTCTCTCTCTTATAAAAACTCACTAGTAAGAGGCAACTTGCTTCATGCAATTACTAGATCTCAATCCTTCTGATATGCATTCAGATCCTCTTTGGCAAGATTTTTGGGACAAGACAAGGCAAAATTATTGAATCAAAATTACTTTTAAAAGAAGTAACACATTTCTAATACTGTCAGACATAGCAGATTGCTGTTATGCTCTAATGGCATGCTGTTTTCTGAATTGAGAGCCAGTGTATAAATAAGAATCATCTGACATAAGATTTTTACTCTATATTTTGTATAGGCATAGTACCAAGGAAGTGTACAGCTGCATCAAGCATGTTATATTTGAACATCTTTTTAAAGTGTTGATCCAGTTGAACATTGTTTAGCATATTTCTTACCAGATTGGAGAAGTGAAGAGGTGAAGGCTTAGATCACATTTCACACTAAGACATAATGTGTTTTAGCATGACTTAGCATGATGTGTAGTTCTTTCAGCCATTGGAGCTGATTCAGCAATCATGGTTAAAGTAAACACTAGCTTAGCATAATGTGTGGACTTAAACACCGAATTGTTTGAAATTATTTGAAAGCATGAGGGGGGGAAATCATATATGGAAAAATTAAGTATATACAACTGGTTTTAGATAATTTAAATAATACAGCCAAAAGACAAACAAAGGTAGATGCAAGTCTTTCCTATTGACACGTCAATACCTGCATTACAATAATACAGGTTAAATCAGCCTCAAATATAAGATCTAGTGAGAGCATTAATTAAGCCTATAATGTATGCAGGAAATTGGTTTTAGATAGTCAATTTAACTACAACCAGTTGTATATACTTAACATTCATCATTGAATTCATAAACAATCAGTTTAACTGATTTCTAGTATGGTCCTACTGACCTATTTTATAAATGTATATTTTATTTCTTAAGAGTCTTTTTGCAAAATACTAAATGGGAAAGATAAAATAGGGGTAGGAGCACTTTGTAACATTTGGATAACAAATTATTCAGAGAATTAATGCTGAAATTCAACCTTTAACGTTTGAATTTTCTTAGTAACAAATATCAGCCATGTAATACCATATGAGTTGATATAATAGACATAATTAAGATACACCATTCAAAATTCTTCATGATTTGAAGATACAACTTCATGAATAATGCATTGCAGTAATCCTACCTGGAGTTTACGAGACAAGAGATCACCATGGCTAGTGAATGATATACTTGCTGTTCTTAAAAACAAGAACCAAAACTTGTCTTATAATGTTGTAGGAGCTACATTCCTGTATGCACAGTCTACAAATCTTGGTTCAATTTTTTTTTTTTTTGCTTTGAAACATACATGTTAAAGCTAGGATAAACGTAAATTTAGTATAGGATTCTTTTTGTAGTAATCAGTGAAATTTAATACAAATAATAAAAGATCCTTGAAGTAAGATATATATAATTGGAAGCTCTTAAATACGTAACATGGACGATTCATTTAAACACAGTGAAACTTCTTTGGATAAATAAGCATAATTTCTAAAGGAGACTTTAGAAATTCCCTGTGCTAAAATTAATTTAAGCACATTTGGTTCCTAGACCACCTCCTGAAAGCTATTTCTGATGTTGGTTGACTGCTGCTTACTTAAGGAAGTTGTACACAGATCTCACTGTGGGATGACTATAGATGTCATACCGCAATGAACAATAAATCTATTAATTGAGGCGAGTGTTTGCTTTTATAAATTACCTTTTCTGAGAAGCTAGTCATTTTTCATCTTAATTTAGATTATTGCTTTACAAACAGTAAAATTACGTAGTTGCTGCATTTTGAAATCATTAAAGAGTATTGTAGACTATTAATTGACTATGTTGCAGTATATAAAGTATATATACAGAACTTGGCCTAAAAAAGCAACAGCAAAGTACAAGGAATTTGGTATTTTGTTGTCTCATATAAATTTGACATGTGTATTAAAAAAGCAGATATTGTTACAAAATAGGTAGAATCTAGGTCTCTATTTCTTTTGCTGAAAATCAGTTTGTCATTACAATTCTCACTGGTTAAGGGTAATTGTTTTCATCGAATAAAAAGACATTCCCTTAACTTTTTCTATTTCCAAATTTTATTTTAGAACTTGACTACAGTATTTTCCATTAAACAAGTGCTTCCAATTATAATTTTTTCATACAGCCATTTCAGTCTTTATTATTATTATTTGGGAAAATTTGCGGTTGTTTTTTTTTTAAGTGCTGGATTCAGGTTTAGGGAAATTTATCTTATTTGTTGGCTAGCATTTGTGTGCTTCTTCAACTCAGTCACAGATTTGGGGTAGCTCACAAAATACAAAATCAACACTCAGTTAAAACAATTCAGCTTCAGCAGTAAAAGACAACATTAAAAACCAGATTATAGTATCTGTGGCTCCACTGAACTGAAATATCCAAAGAGCAGTATGATTTTTACAGCCTTTTGGAAGATTAAAAAAGTGGGCAAGCTAATCACAAGAAACAATTGAGGGCAGGCTTCTATGATAGAGCCTATCTGATATGAAAAGGTCAGTTGGTGTTTACAATTACCTCTGTTGGGGCTGTGCAACTTCAGTTGGCTTGAGAGCTACACTAGGTTTGTGTTGAAACACTGAGGCTCACATTCTAAATTGTGTGGGGCCAGAGATATTTTAAGAGGTATTTCAGATGGTTGAAGCACACATTTTGTTCTCTTACTACTTCCAAACCACCCCAAATGCAAAAAAAAACCCACCACAAATATTTTATCTTATTCCATGTAGGTAGTACAAATTGGGATGCTAATGAGTCATAGTTTTGCATCTCTAACGTCAGGGAGATCAATTTGACCATATGAAATTTATCCCTACAGACCTCTTAAGCAGAATCCCATTTTGTGCTTTCCTCCTAGGATTTCCCACATTGGGCAAAAGGTATGCTCTTTCTTCAGAAATAGTTTGCCACTAATTTCTGTGATTCTAAAACTGACACAGCGACATTTAATAAATCATAAGGGGGAGAGTAGTTAAAAGGTTAAGAGTAGAAATCATGAAAATAATATGTGAGTTACAGAGATGAAAGACTGCTGCTTGGAAATAACAGAACTGTTGTGCACAGGCAGAGTCCTTTCATTCCATATCTCCCATGAAAAAATGCAGTAATCAGGCCAGGTTTTTTTTGGTCAATTGGAAAGCAGAGCCCATAAGCTTCCTGGATTTAACTGTATTAAATTCGGTGAACAATACATTTTAAAATGTGCCCTATTTTCTAATTGCATTATATTTTGCAAATAATGATACCTAATTTA